CGATATCCAGCGGCAAAACAACATGCCAGTGAGGCGCTTGATTTGCGACAGCCCGACACGTTGGAATTCAACACTCCTAATGTTCGACCGCCTGCTCCAACAAGAAAAAGCAGTTAATGAATATTTGTATGACCGGGGTGCTAGGACAGCCTCTGGGGAGCTGGGAATTTTTTGCCACGTTACTGGACGCTCATGCGCAATGCCTGTAGGCTCATGCGTCCTTTTGAGGAGGTGACAAATTTAGTCAGTCGCACCGAAGGCACCATCAGCGACATCATACCATTTGTTTTCTTCCTGGAGCGTGCCCTGCGAAGAGTGCTGGATCAGGCCGTAGATGAGCGTGAAGAGGAAGAGGAAGAGCTGTGGTCACCATCACCTCCAGAAACAGCCTTATCAGCATCGCTTGCTGGACCTGCGGCAACGCTGGAAGAGGATTGTGAGGAAGAGGAGTCAGAGGAGGAATGTGGCTTTGAGGAGGAGGAAGAGGAGGAGCAAGATCAACCACAACAGGCATCCCAGGGTGCTCGTTGTCACCTATCTGGTACCCGTGGTGTTGTACGTGGCTGGGGGAAAGAACATACCTTCATTGAGATCACTGAGGAGGAGGAACGGGAAATGAGTAGCTCGGCATCCAACCTTGTGCAAATGGGGTCTTTCATGCTGTCGTGCCTGTTGAGGGACCCTCGTATAAAAAGGCTGAAGGAGAACGACCTGTACTGGGTGTCCACGCTACTAGACCCCGGTATAAGCAGAAAGTGGCTGAAATGTTACCAAATTACAACAAGTCGGAAAGGATGCAGCATTTGCAAAATAAATTAAAAAGTCACAGCACAACGGGAATCTAACAGGGGAAAGGTGAAAGTAATCCTCCTCCTCCCACGACCACGCCGGCAAGGACAGGACGCTTTAGAGACGTGTTGTTGATGGAGGACATGCAGAGCTTTTTAAGTCCTACGCATCGCCACAGCCCTTCGGGATCCACCCTCAGAGAACGACTCGACCGACAGGTAGCAGACTACCTCGCCTTAACTGCAGATATCGACACTCTGAGGAGCGATGAACCCCTTCACTACTGGGTGTGCAGGCTTGACCTGTGGCCTGAGCTATCCCAATTTGCGATAGAACTTCTGGCCTGCCCCGCTTCAAGTGTCCTGTCAGAAAGGACCTTCAGTGCAGCAGGAGGTATTGAGAAGAGAAGTCGCCTAGGTCAAAAAAGTCTAGATTACCTCACCTTTATTAAGATGAATGAGGGATGGATCCCGACGGGACTGACAGTGGGTGATACATTCGACTAAAAAAGGCCTGATGAGATGAGCTGCCTTGGGCTAAAAATGGTCCACATGGAAATGGCTTTGTATTACCTTGCATGCCCTGTTGTCCATCTATTGGGGCAGTTTGGCAAACGAAGCATTTATCCCGTTGTATTATATTTCATTTTAAGGGTTTAAGACCCATTTCTTTTGGTCAAGAACGGTGAGATCAGATTTTCAAGTTTAGATGGCAGGATTCCTCTCAAACTTACCCAATGCTTCCAAGTGGTGCCAAGACGCAGATTTGATCTTCTCAGAAGCTAATTTACCACCCGACGAGTCTAATTATACTCTAACGGCAGGTTTCAATACCCTAACTCAATTATACAAACAGCAGATTAGAACAAGTTGGGAGATAGCATCATTAGAAAACTACTTTAAAAAGGGGCTAATACCAAGGGGATTAAGAGTTCCTACAACATCGACGACACATATAGAAGAAGAGGACTTCATTAAAGAATGGGAGGAAGTGGCAGGACAATGCTCTGCCAAGTTTATGGAAATAATCTGTAAATATGAAAATAAAAAGTTAAAAGATATAGAGAAAAAGGTTGACGAAGAAGTAGTTAGGGTCCAACAATTTTAAACAGACCCCACCTTCACTCTGAATGAAAATAGGTTACAAAACAACTTGGAGAAATATCAATTCATAGTAAAACAACGTAAACCTCAAAAATTCTTAAGGGATACTAAAGATTTCAAGACAGGTAACGTGTACAGATTTCAGAGGAGAAGAAAAATAGATATTGATCAGATCTCGACCTCTGAATACGAATCAAGTGAGTCAGAATTAGATCCACAACCTTCTACCTCAACTCCAGACGAACAGAACAGGGGAATCCTTAAAAAAGGGGTAACTTTTTTAGACAAACAGGGGGAAGGTTTCCCCCAACGACCAAGAAAACAACACAACAGGCGGAATCAGTTCTAAATAAAAACCAAGTGGTCAATTTATCCAAGTATAAACTCACACCATCAGAAGTAGAATTACTGGGTAAAGGGCTGTCATTTATACCAACCCCACACTTTGATAAATTTACCTGGGTCAAAGATATACACTTATTTGCCAGAAAACCCTTACTACATAAAAACTATCTCCTCATTGAGGACAAAAAGGCAAAAGCCTTAGGCTTAAATCCCGGAGATTATAAAATGGCCATGCTACTTGCGGATCTCCTTGAGGAGAACGAGAATGGTGAACAATCCGTGTGTCCCGTTACAGATCTTAAAAAGAAAAGCCAATACTGTCCTAAACTTGGGGATGCTAAATATGTTGAAACTTTCGTGGAATTAGTATGTAATGAGATTGAAAAAATTACAACATCAGAACTAACTCTAAAATCTAACTAACTTATCCACAGCAGAAGTAAGGGCTCTTAATTCCTTAAGAGATAACAAGGAAATTACGATTAAGCCCTCCGATAAGGGGGGCAATATCGTAATTATGGACACCCCTAATTATGTAGAAATGACGAAGAGAATATTGACTGATGTTAAGACATATAAAGTTATCAAATCTGATCCGTCAAAAAAAGTTCTTAGAGGAATTAAAAACAATTCTACAAAAAGGATTGAAAGATACAGTGATCTCAAAAAATTAATATGATTATATCTTAAGTGACAGTCCACATATCTCAACTTTCTATAGCTTACCCAAGATACACAAACAGTATAAAGTTCTCACCGGAACTAGAGTCTCCGGTAATAACAACCTGACACAAAATGCCAAATCTTGAAACCTCTGGTCACTCGATTACCATCATACCTCAGAGATACAAAACAAACCTTGGCAGAGTTAACTAGGATTCAAATGCCTCCACAATCAATACTGTGCAGTTTAGATGTGGAGTCCCTTTATAGTTCAATCCCCCACATCCTAGGTTTAAAACATACTAGCCACTTCTTAAGAAAAAGAGGAAGTCAGTTTGATAAACACAGCGACTTCACCATACAACTCCGCAAGTTCGTTTTAACGCACAATTTTTTCCTATTTGATGGAGTATTCTACCACCAGGTGCAGGGGACAGCGATGGGGACATCCTGTGCACCCTCATACGCTAACCTGCACCTGGGGTGGTGGGAAGAGCAAATAGTCTTTGCAGACCCTAAGAATGACCTAACACAATACATCTATTATTGGAAGAGATATATAGATGACATTGTAATCATATGGACAGGTACAAATGAACAGTTTGCTAATCTTGTACAGAAGCTTAATGTGAATGACTTAAATGTAAAATTCACAACTGAGATAGGAACCGCCTCCCTAACTTTTCTAGATCTTGTTCTAACGGTACCATTAAGACCAACTTGTTCAGAAAAAGCACAGCTACCAATAGCTTACTTAATTTGGGCAGTTACCATCCAGTCCCCCAGAAAAGAGGCATCCCCATTGGCCAGTACTTGCGACTCTGGCGTAACTGTTCAGATGTTGAGGATTTCATAGTGAAGGCTAAAGATCTAAGGGCTATGTTTAGGTCTAAAGGGTATCCTAATAAATGTCTGAAGAGAGCCTGATAGAGAGAGTCTGATAATGGAAGAAGGAATACCCCATAGACCCACTGAACCAGATAATAAACAACTTAGGTGCATAGCCACCTACGATGCCGGTTGGGATCATGTCAGATCCATCATGACAGATCCATCATGAATAGATTCTGGCCTCTGCTGAAACAAGATGAATTACTGAAGGACATCATTCCAACACAGGCAGCTGTGATGGCAAGGAGAGGGAAGAACCTTAAAGACTCCCTCGTACGTAGCCACTTTCAGAGAACAAAAGCACCTATACATTGGTTAACCAATAACCTTAAAGGTACTTATAAATGTGGCAGATGCAAGGCCTGTGAGTTTATTAAAAAAGATTCTAAGACCTTCAATAATAGCTCCAACAGCCTGCATTTTGACACCCCAGCCTTCTTTAACTGCAGTTCCAAAGGACTAGTTTATTTGATCACCTGCCAATGTGGGATGTCATATGTGGGAAAAACTTTCCGCCCCTTCAGACGAAGAATCTTGGAACACATCAATTCGGTAAAGACAATAAGACACAGACTCCGGTCTCAAGACATGTCAAAACTGTCCACCAGGGTGATCCCACTGTCTTGAGATTTCAAGGCATTGAACTTCTAAAAGAAGATCAAAGAAAAGGTAACTGGGATCAGCATATTAGGAAGAGAGAATGCTACAGGATCTACCGGTTGCAAACCCTGTCCCCAAAAGGACTAAATGAGGGATTCTCCTATTTTCCCTTCATCACGTGATCTCACAGATATAAATGTTGACAAATTCTAAAATAATAACTTTGTACATCATCTTGTAAATATTAGAAATTTAGGTCATAACACATTAGGTCTGGGATAGCCACATTCTTTCATATTTATTATTTTTTATCATATTTTTAATCTTTTATTTACCAATACCAGTAATAGTTGGTATAGAATAGGGCTCTTCACAACTATTTTAGATTAGGGGGACTTAACTATGACTAGTTCTTGAAATCATCAAAAGTATATCTATTAAGGAGACTGACTAAATAAACCTAGGGATTGCTTAAGAAAACCATATCTTGGCACTTTAAATTTGTAGCCATAGATATATTTAATGCATTTCAAAACAAAGATAATAAAAGTCTGGACAAAGTGCTAATGCAGATTGACAATGACTATCCAAACTATTTATTTATCTTGTATCAATCTATTATACTTTCATAATTATACACAATCAAATACACAAAGTATTTATTCAATGTTGTTACCTTTGGCTATTTTTACTTCAAGATTTAATAAAGATTCTTTATTTTTATTTTAATTACTATTTTCTGGATTTAGTCCAATTAGGATAATTGAGGGCCTTTTTTTTTTTGAACTGATAAGTTTAATGGTTCCTTACCCTGTTTCCTTTTCCCCTCTATTTAGATTCCCATACTGGCCATCTCAATTTATGTACGGTTACTCCAAATTTTGTCCATTTATTTTTGCCGGCATTTCTAGATCTCCCCAGGCGGAGATCACACTTATTTTATAGTTTATTAGGGTACAAGCCCTTGGTGGAGCTGGCATCACCGTTTGACCACAAGGCTTTGTATTACCTCGCATGCCCCGTTGTCCATCTATTGGGGCAGTTTGGCAAACAAAGCATTTATCCCGTTGTATTATATTAAAATGGTCCACACGCTGCTGTAGTTTAGCTCTGAATGCCGGTTGACTTGCGTGACATATCCGCCACCAACTAGGGTTCAAGCCGCAATGTTTTAGGGCAGTGCTCCCCAACCTTTTTATCGCCGCGGACCAGTAAACGTTTGATCATTTTTCCGTGGCCCGCTTGTTTTGATTTAATAATTTTAATTTAATTGTATTTAAACATGCCTTCAAAATAAAATACAGCTACACCAAAATATGAATATAAAGTGATTTTATTTAACTCACTAGAATGCCAAATCAATGAGAACCCTGAGCTTGTTTCTTCGCAACGAGACGGTTCCATCTGGGGGTAATAGGAGACAATGACACCCGAAGTGTGTTGCTTATGTCCAGTTTATTCCGCTGTTTTGTTTTGGTTGCTGTCACTGCAGAAAACCCCGCTTCACACAGATAGGTTGTTGGAAATGGCAATAGGGATTTAAGTGCTGTGGTGGCAATCTCAGGGTATTCCGCCATGACTTTAATCCAGAACACCGGCAGAGTTGTTGTCTCGAACATAGTTTTAAGGCCACCGTCATTTGCAATCTCCAGCAGTAGTTCTTCTTGCATAGACATGCTAGATTCGCCTGATTTGTTGGCAAATGGGTCGCGGATCCATTCCTTACCAGTTCGTGGGTTTTTTGTGGTTGGGAAGTAGCGCTCAAACTCTTTTAAAAGCAAAGACAGGTGATCGTGCACCAACCGGCAGAGTGAATGTTCAAGCTCAGTCTCGCCTAAAATCCCGCTAATGTCTGAAACATGTCCAAAATGCCTCTGTTCACGCGCCGTCCCCACAACTCCAGTTTGGCTTTAAATGCAGCTCGTTTGTCTGACAACTTGAAAACAGTTGTAATTTTCCCCTGAAGGCCCAGATTGAGTTCGGCCAATGGCGTGGGGTTTGTCTTACGGCCAATCAGGAAGCGGGAGGACCCAGGAGGAGGATCAGTAACAATAGGGAATTTTAATTCGCTATTGTCACACAATGGGCGGGCTCGGGAGGGCGCAATGCTCTGCGCCTCGGCCGCCACAGTGAAATTAAAGTTCCTCGGGCGGCCCGGGGTTTGGGGAACACTGTTTTAGGGCACTTTCTGCCTGGGAAACAAACATCAATTCTTCTGGCCGCTGCTACAGAGGCGGCTGCAACAATACCAAATTTTTCAGGCATTTGTACATG